AGAAAATAATGGAAATGTCAAAAAAATAAAAGAAAATAAGTTTCTCATGTGATATGTGGTCTAGTTGTTGGGAAATTTGCAAATGTGAATTTTGACTTTATTTGCAAAATCTCTCTGAAATTTGTAAAAATGGGCATAACTTTTGCATACTAACTCGGATGAAAAAGTTTTTTATATGAAAAATCATCTACTCGAAAAGTTACATCCAAATTTAACAAGGGGAACCCCGTTAAACATTTTCAAAATCCTCAAAAACCTAATAGAAAAAAAGTTACGGGGCTTGTAAGATCTAGAGTGGAAAAAATTGAAAAATATTCAAACAGTGGGCAAACTATGGTCAAACAATGGTCAAACTAATTATTCTAGAATATTAGTGTTACTAAATAATTATTTTAATTATTTCAATTTTGGTCAAATCTGGTCAAACTGTGGTCAACTGTGGTCAAACTGTGGTCAAACAATGGTCAAACTAATTATTCAAGAAATATTAGTGTTACTAAATAATTATTGTTTTTTAAAACAATAGTTTCAAACTCAAACAGTGAAATGTGTCACTTCATGCTCAAGCAAAATTCCTGAAGGTTAATAGGATTGACATCTTATTATTGTCAGGAAAACAACAAGTGCAGACTTGGAGCGTGGGAGAATAGAACCCGGAAGTTAAGCGTGCTTGGGCTGGAGTAGTGAGAGGGATGGGTGACCGGTTGGGAAGTTAGATGATTTGGAATGATGAGGGGTGATAAAAGAATAAATTGAGAAGTGATGAGGGGTGGTGATTAGAGACTAGAGGTTAAAATAATTCAGAAATTTGAAAAAAAAATTCAATTTTTTTTTTCAAAAACCTGTGGCGGCCTTTAGTCGCGGTTAGCCACAAGAACCGCGACTAAAGGTCGTCCGCCCCGACGGCCACCTGGCGCCCACGTGGACGGGCCTTTAGTCGCGGTTCTTAAGCAACCGCGACTAAAGGGGGGGGGCCTTTAGTCGCGCCCGTTCGGTCGCGGTTGCGCAACCGCGACTAATGGCAGTTGCGAACCGCGACCAAAGGCCCTTTTTCCACCAGTGGTTTATCCAAAAAGTTCTACATCCTAGCCATGTTTCTGAACTTGTGGCAAAACATAACAATATTAATGTTTTGTGGGAAAGAACATAATATTATTCAATCAATAATATTAGTTTATCATCAAATCTTACTCCGTATGTAACTAACCAAAGACTAAATTGCATTAAGCTTCTGCTAGATGTTTACTCCAAGACAGCAACTTTGACTCACTGGTTTGCAACAGAGTGCAATTTTAAATTATGAAGACTTGGCAATAAATAATTACCAAGACTGTTAAATTTTGGCGTGTTTGGAATATTTAATCCTAGCGGCAACCATTAGCAGGCATGCATGATAATGTCTAATTAAACTATACGCAGCGTGGAAGAAGCAAGGTAGACGCAACGAATTCAGTAGAGTGGTACATCGCGGAGCATGGGGTCACGAGGGAGGTCGCAGTTGCCACGATCGAGTCACTCATAGAAGACGAATGGAGAAGCCTAAATCAAGCTCGCTTTGGGAACCGAGTGCTGCTCCCCGCAGTGCAGCGGGTTATCAGATTCGCTGTTAGTATGCCGTTATACTATGGTGGAGGGAACGATGCATTCACATTCAGCAAGCATCTTCACAAGACTATTGAGGCCCTCTTTGTCAACCCCATTCCCATCTAGGTAGGGAGCTATCTAGCTTGTTGCCGTACTACTATTTATCATTGTAACAAGTACCAATCTGCTTTCCAATAAACACATGTGTGTGACAGTGTGTGGTTTCTAGTAAGAGAAACAGTTATATGTATTGTTTATGAGATGAGATGGAATAAAATTCTATGTACGTGTGTTATCTTAGTGTTGGTTAAATTTCACTTTCAATCAGCTATTCTAACAACCTGGCTGCTTGAAACAGATTTTAGATTTTTAAACATGCTAAACTGGATTTTTTAGCGTTAAATTTAATCACGAATTATGTTTTGTGACTAGCCCGATGAAAGGGCCTACCTGCTGGGATAACGTGACAAATGATTCATGGGCAGCTTCTGTACCAAATTAGAGGAGTATTCCTCTTAGGCCTGTCCAATGCTAGTGAAATTGGCATGTAGTACCAAATACTCCCTCTTCCCATTATTGTGCATACAAGTTTTTCCTAAAGTCACACTTTGGAAATTACCTTCGGTCTAGTTTAGAGAAAAATCTATACAAAACCAAATCAATATCATTAGATTCACTATGAAATATATTTTCATATGCCATATATTCAGTATTGTAAAAGTTCATGTTTTTCTAAAAACTTGATCAAAGTTTACAAAGTTCGACTTTAGATTAAAAAACGTACATACGCTATAGCTTGGCAAGGAGGGGATATGAAAACTACATCAAATTTACAAAGGTTGACTTTTTCAAAATTTGGGACTTTTTTTTAGAAAATGCATGAAAATTTCTTAATATTGGAACGTTTTCTAAACTTGCAAATATATTTATAGCAAATTTGTGTCCTTTTTTCAAACTCCAGAAAAAATGTCAATGCATGATTTATTCTAAAACTATCAAACAATTATGTACTGAACATTTTAAATATTCCTGATAATTTTTAAAACATTTTTAATTTCATGTAATATTCCCCTGTGACAAAGGCTGGTCAGTAATTGGGTCGGCCCAGTATGCGCGAGTGTCGGGTTTGCTCCATTCCTATCGCGATATGCGCGACACAGAAACTCGGGATCTCCTATGCGCCGCTTGCTGCGGCAAAGAGTTGGCGTTTCGCACAGGGCGACACACCTGAGCCGGCCCATTTTGAACGCGCGAGCACTGGGATTCGAACACTTGTCTGTGAAGTAGTATGAGCATGGTGCTAGCCACTGCGACAAGTAGATTCTACTCTCAGATAGGCAACACGAACTAAAAGAAGTAAACCACAGCGGCAAACTTAAACACCCGGCAACACAACTCTATGTGAGGGATCAAACTGAGGTCCTCTTTCTAGTGAACAGCGTCGCTAGACAGCATTATTACTTTGACTAGGTGTCTAAAATGGCGGCCCCGTGTATATGAACTATAAGGCACAAATGTAACTTTCTTTTCGGAAAAAGTAAAAAAAATAAAAACGAAAAATTTCTAATTTCTAAAAACAATTATATAAATTCGAACATTTTGTGAAACCCCAAGCATTTTTCAGAAGGAACAAATTTCAAAGGGAGAATATTTTTAAAACAATAATTTTTTATGAAAATGCGAACATTTTTGGACAAAACAAGAACAAAAATAAACAAAGCAATTTTTCTGAAATCAATAACAAATTTATCAAAATGTGAACATTTTTTGAAATTCCCTGAAATGATTCTGACTTCATGAAAACAAGCCTTTTTTATATTAGTGAACATATTTCGAAAGTGAATTCCCAAACGTTTTTCAAATTTGTGAACAAAAATTCAAAGGCGAACATTTTTTGAGATCCTTGGAACAATTTGTTATTTTGCGAACAAATTTAGAAAACATGAACACCATTTGAATTTGTGAACAAATTTTGAAAGTGCGAACATCTTTTGAAACTCGCAAACATTTTCTGAATCTGTGAACAAAAACTAAAATGCAAACATTTTTTATATTTGAAATGTTACACTTTTTTTAATTTTCGAACATTTTTCTATAGTAAAACAATATATTATAATTCTAGTTTTTGGGAGTTTCTGATCAAAACTCCAAAATTGAAACTTTTTTGAAAATGCGATTTTTTTGACAAAACAAAAAAAATAACAGAGCTATATTTTTTAAATCAATTACAAATTTATCAAAATTCAAACATTTTTTAAAATTCCCCGAAATGTCTCCGAATTCATGAAACACATGGCTTTCTTTTATTCATGAACATATTTCGAAAGTGAAATTCCTGAACATTTTTCAAATTTGTCAACAAAAATACAAAGCCGAACATTTTTTGAGATCCTAGGAACAATTTGTTATTTTGTGAACAAATTTTGAGAACATGAACACTATTCGAATTTATGAACAAATTTTGAAATGGGAACATCTTTTGAAACTCGCAAACATTTTCTGAATCTGTGAACAAAAATTAAAATGGAAGCATTTTTTGAATTTTGAACATCTTTGTATAATAAAAAAAGTATTCGAATTCTATTTTGGTGGGATTTCTGAACAAAATTTCAAAATTGTAACATGTTAGAAAAATTGAACAAAATTTTAAAAATGCGAACATTTTTAAAATTTCGGAAGATATGCTGAAGGAGAAAAGTATAGTTTATATAAAAATGGAAAGAAAAGAGTAAAAACGAAACAAAGAATATAAAATAGGAAAGAAAAAACGAAAAAATGAAAAAAAGGATAGAAAAGAAACAGAAACAGGAAAAAAGAAAAAAGAAACAGAAAAAGACATAAAACCGGTCCGGGAACCTTCCGTTACCTTCTAGAACGTTCGTATAACCAGAAAAAACAGACTGGAACCTCCTAGAACATTCACAAAACCAGCCAGTACTGTAACTTTATATATACTGAGAACTGGGCCGGCCCATGTTGCTCGCTGATCCCCTCGCTCTGTGCGAATCAAAGACAATCTGCCGCGAAATGCGGCAGATAGGATTTTCCCAGAAACTCCCCCATGCACCGGGACTTGGTGAGCAAATGCGCACCACATTCGGATTAGTTTCGGCCTAGTGTGGAGGTGGTGTGTCTATTTTCTCGTTCCCTTTCTTTTTTTAGCTTTCCCTTTTTTTTTTGTATTTTTATGTCTTTGTTTCTTATTTGTTCCAAAAATTCACATATTTGAAATGTGTTTGTTGATTTTGAAATCCAAACCCGGAATTTATATAAAAATTTCTTTGATGTAAAAATATGAATGAAAATCTGAAAATGTACAATTAAAATGTTTAACAATTTCAAAAAATTAAAACTACCAAAAATGTCCCGATTTTTATAAAATGACCATGAACTTTAATAATATCGGTTAATACAAATAATTGTTAATGAATTTTCAAAAAATCTTCTGGAAATGTTCCAGAATATACAGAATGTGCACTAATTTCAAAAATATTAGGAAATTAGAAAAATACTCATTAAATCATAAGAATTGCTCTTGATTTTAAAAAATCTGAAATACTCATGAAAGTATTAGGAATTTTCTGGAATTAAAAAACTACATTTTGAAACCTATATATGAAAGTTCTCTAAAATTCGAAAAAAGCAAAATAAAAAATAGAAATCGGTTAAAGCGGCAGAAACTTGAAATGACATAGTCAGCCCCATAGCATTCAGGAACATGTGTGAGGATGCACCTTTGTGGCTATCCTCCGTGCTACTCCCTCACAAAGATTTGTATACACAGACGAGGACCGAAACGCAGCAAAACCACAACAACCGTGATTGCGTATGCATGATCCTGCAACGGTTGTGACCTAATGTGAATCATTTTCCTTTTCATTTCTGTTTAGTTGTATTACTTTTCCTTTTTGGTTTATTTCTTTTCCTTTCATATGTTCCCTTTTATTTTTTGTTATTTTATTTATCTCTCTTCTTATTCATTTTATTTTTTTATAATTAATACATAAATATACTTGCAAGATGCACAAACACTTCTCTTTGGAATGTGTGCACATTATTAAAGTACAATATCAGCAGCAGTTTAAAATACAAAAAGATTTATTTCAATATAGTCAACATATTTCCTTGTAACAAGTGAACATTTTCTCCACTAATTTTTTTAATACATAAGAATTATTAATACAATTATTTATTTTGTGGCACATCGACATGTCTTTTGATGTACAGTGTAGTAAAAAAATAGATAAAACATCCCCTTGAACCACATGAACATTTGTTTTTGATATATGGACTTTTATTTGCAAAACATGAATATTTTCTTATTGTTAAAATGATCTTGCAATATTATTGAAGCAAATATACTATTTTAGATTAAAATCAAATAGAAAAACAAACTTTCCTAGCTAATGGATCATACCGAATGTCAGTCCATATAACTCTAGACAACTTGGGTCTATTGCTCCGGACAACCGACAGATATCACACATATTGGTTGAGAATTAGTAATTTATCAATCGACAAATAAAGAGGCGTGAGGGAGTCCCGGACTAGGGGGTGTCCAGATAGCCGAACTATCATCATCGGCCGGACTCCAAGACTATGAAGATACAAGATTGAAGACTTCGTCCCGTGTCCGGATGGGACTTTCCTTGGCGTGGAAGGCAAGCTTGGCGATACGGATATGTAGATCTCCTACCATTGTAACCGACTCTGTGTAACTCTAGCCCTCTCCGGTGTCTATATAAACCGGATGGCTTTAATTAGTCCATAGGACGAACAACAATCATATCATAGGCTAGCTTCTAGGGTTTAGCCTCCTTGATCTCGTGGTAGATCTACACTTGTAACCCACATCATCAATATTAATCAAGCAGGACGTAGGGTTTTACCTCCATCAAGAGGGACCGAACCTGGGTAAAAACATCGTGTCCCTCGTCTCCTGTTACCATCCGCCTAGACGCACAGTTCGGGACCCCCTACCCGAGATCCGCCGGTTTTGACACTGACATTGGCGCTTCCATTGAGAGTTCCTCTGTGTCGTCACTGATAGGCTCGATGGCTTCTTCGATCATCATCAACGACGCCGTCCAGGGTGAGACCTTCCTCCCCGGACAGATCTTCGTATT